GGCCAGACACTCTGGCGTACTGAGGTCAAATCCGCTTTCTATGCCACAAGTCCCTGACCAGTTCTCCCAGGCAGCACCCCTCCCGATGCCATGCCAGCGCTGCCTTCAGCATGCATCGCTTCAACCCCTGGCACAAACCATATCACAGAACTGGACAAAGCCCATGAGCAAGACCTGAAAGGGAACAGGGCGTATGTAACCTCATATTCCTGGGCAACCTCCGCTTATTAATCTGGGCTCTCGCTTAGCTGTTGCCTATAGCCCTCCTGCCCTCCCAGTCTGCACAGCATGGCTAACTGGCACAGCTTTGGGTGCGGCATGACACTGGGGGTCTGCTTTCGTTTCAGCCGGCAACCACCCCCTGCCCCCTCTGATGGGCACGGGGATGGATGGACAGCCGTCAGCTCTAATAAGGACAAGTGCCTTGGGTACGGCTGCACAGCCCCACAGATGCTAAGCCAGCAGCAGATGTGCTCCTAGCAGCTAGGATGCGCTTCCCCCCTCCCGTAGCATTCCCGGCTTCCTGTGCAGTGTATGAGCCCGGTCAGAGGCAGCAAACTGGGCTGAAGACCCCTCACATCCACTCCAGGCTGGCAGGGCGGTATGAAAAATAAACTGGAGGAATAGTTAGTTCAGCGCAGCATCATAGGTGCTAAGACAGACCTACACGACAATGAGCTATTTAACCACGGCCAGGCACATGCTGACATGTACCCAAGGAAGGAGACAGGCAAGGGAATTAAACCAGCAACCAGCCAAGGACCTGCTTTTTTTTTTTTTAACCCAACAAATCATGAACCTGTTGAGGTCACCGGCGCAGTGGCATTTACGGCTTTCCATCACAATGCAATGTTACTAAGGGGAATCTCCGGCTGGGAGCCAGAATAAATGCACACGAGGGTACCAGAGCGTGCCACGCTGCTACCTGTCCTGGGGTGGGGAGAGAGGACCTCTGTGGCCATGTTAGGGTATGACTGAGCCCCCGTGAGGACATCACCCTGGTCTGGGCGATGGAGCAGTGAGCCCCCACAAGGTAAACCCAATCTGCATGCCAGTGGGCTCACTCTGGGCTGGGAGCAATGGGCTCAAGTGGCAGCAAGGGAGGTTTAGGTTGGAGGAATTTTCTCACTAGGAGGGTGGTAAAACGCTGGACCAGATTACCCAGAGAGGTGGTGCAATCTTTATCCTTAGAGGTTTTTAAAACCTGGGTAGACAAAGCCTTGGCTGGGATGACGTAGTTGGGGCTGGTCCTGCCTTGAGCAGGGGTTGGACTAGATGTGACCTCCGGGGGGGGGTCTCTTCCAGCCCTCATTTTCTGCTAACGCATCATCACTGGGGACGGCGCCTACTGTTTCATGCTGCCTGTTCCCTGCAAAGTGTGGGACAACTTGCCCGTCCCTCTGAGCCCCTGGCGGGAGGTGTGGGATGGCGACAGAGCATGTACACAGCACAGCTTGCATCCTCGCTGCGGCAGCCCCCTGCGTGACATTGGGTACAGTCGATGCCCCTGGTCATATCAGCACACTCAGCAGCAAAGCATCGCTTCCCTCAGGTGAGAAAGGGCAAGGGGGGGGCTGGCTAAGGGCAGCCCCCAGCTGAGCACCTGAGTTAAGCCAGCAGCAGAAGCCCATAGTACTAGGCTGTGATCTTCTAGACGGTCCCATCCTGGTTTCTGCCAACAGACCCCCCCCCCCCC